GGTTAGAGAGACCTTAAAGCTCATCCCATCCTACCCCCTGCCACGGGCAGGGACACCTTCCACCAGGCCAGGTTGTTCCAAGCCCTGTCCAACCTGACCTTGGACACTTCCACCTCAATGTGATGCTCCTGGCAATTGAAGAATCACCATATCCCTCTTTCCAGCTTCTCCTTTTAAAATTTTCCTAGGAAAAGGACAGCACAATATCGAGGATTCCCACCGAGACACTGAGGTTGTTCGGTGGTTCCAACCTGAAACCAAACCTGGCATCTGAAAAGCCCTTTTCCCTGCCATTCAGAGGGCATTTGCTGCAGGCAGAAACCACTTGTTGAACCAGGCACTTTTAGGGACACAAAACCCAAACCATGGAATCGTCTGAGCAAAGCAGGAGTTGCAGACACGGAGAACCCAAGTGAAATAACACACAAATTCACCCCTGGGATGCCTTGTTTTGTTCCAGGAACATAAACCCAAATCATTTGAGTAATGCAGGAGTTGCAGGCACAGGGATAACCCAAGTGAGATAACACACAAATCAATTCTGGGGATGTTCTGTTTATGTCCAGGCAGTTGTAGGGGCACAAACCCAAATCACCTGAGCAAAGCAAGAGTTGCAGACACACACACAACCCAAGTGAAATAACACACATATCCATTCTGGGCATCTTTTTTGTTCCAGGCAGTTGTAGGGACATAAACCCAAATTACTGAGCAAAGCAGGAGCTGCACACCCAGAGAACTCAAGTGATATAACACACACACAGATCCTCTCCTGGGATGTCTTGTTTTGTTCCAGGGACATAAACCCAGATCACCTGAGCTAAGCAGGAGTTGCAGACACAGAGAACTCAAGTGAAATAACACACAAATCCACTTTTGGGATGTTTTGTTTTGTTCCAGGCAGTTGCAGGGACACAAACCCGAGTCACCTGAGCAAAGCAGGATTTGCACACACAGAGAACTCAAGTGAAATAACACACAAATCCTCTCCTGGGATGTCTTGTTTTGTTCCAGAGACACAAACCCAAATCATCTCAACAAACCAGGAGCTGCAGACACACAGAACCCAAGTGAAACAACCCACAAATTCACTCTTAGGATATTTTGGTTTGTTCCAGGCAGTTGTAGGGACTCAAACTCGAGTCACCTGAGCAAAGCAGGAGTTGCAGACACAGAGAACCCAAGTGAAATAACACACAAATCCACTTTTGGGGATGTTTTGTTTTGTTCCAGGGACACAAACCCAAGACACCTGAGCAAAGCAGGAGCTGCACAGGGGGATAACCCCGAGTGGAACAACACACAAAGCACTCCTGGGATGTTTTGCTCCCTATCTCCAGACACCCAAAGCCTCCCCTACGCCCATTTCTTCCTCAAGGCACCGTCAGCCCATTTCTCAGGGAAAAGGAATGGGGATGAATAGTCCCATAAAGAATCCCAGCAGAGCTTGTCCTGCCCGGAGCCGCCACCACGCCAAGGTCCAACTCTCAATTAACCCCCGGCCGACCTTCCTTCACTTTCTTTCCCCCTCCTCTGCCCTTCCTGAGAAAGTTCAGCGTTTCCTGGAAAAGTCTCCTGGAAAAGTCTCCTGCCTGTTTGATATTGTACTTCGCCTTGGTTGCTGAAGGAAGGATTTACAGGTGCCTGGCCCCCTCTGGAAGACCATGACCGGAGGGTGACCTCCCGGTACAATATGTGAACTCCTGCCCTGCTGATAAGGCTGCCAGATATGAGTAGGATTTTTCAAATAATCCTTTGGGAATTTATAAGCAGCACAGCCATAAAACCGAGGTGACTGGAAGGTCGATTTCACTAAAAATAATAAATATCCCAATGTTTATTCAACGTGGGCCTTTTTAACTGCAGGCCAAGCGTTGAGATAACGCCATTGTAAATGACAAATATTGGGATTTTTTGGTAACTATTGCATTACGATCCTTCCGCCTGACACTGATGTGGCCGTTTCCCTCGATGCTTGCAGGATCCCTGACATTGTTCAGCCCAAGCTGGGCCTGGAAAGCCAGGGCAGGATTCAATCACAGGTCAGGAAAAGGGCAGTTTTCTTCTGGAAGGAGCCTCAGGAACCTTTTTCTGGTGCTCCCATCTCACTAACACACCTTCTGCCCTGGGGGTTTTCCCCTTATTAGGGATTTTGGTGGAAAGAGAGAAGGAGGAATGGGAGGACTGAGGGATCTCAGCTCAGGGTGGGGACACAGGACACCGATCTGCCAGCATGGAACCCCTGCTCCAGGTTTAACTTCCCCATGGAATCATTTCTGGTGGAAACGGCCTCAGACATCGAGTCCAACTCCAGCACTGCCAAGGCCACCACTGACCCCTGTCCCCAAGTGCCACATCCACAGGGATTTTAAATCCCTTCAGGGATGGGGATCCACCACTGCCCTGGGCAGCTGTGCCAGGGTTGGACAACCCTTTCCATGAAGGAATTTTCCCAATATCCAACCTGAACCTCCCCTGGCACAGCCTGAGGCCATTCCCTCTCATCCTGTTCCCTGTTATTTGGGAGAAGTGACCAGTCCCACCAGGCCCCACCCTCCTGTCAGGGAGTTGTGGAGACACCATCACCAAGTCTCCTGCACTATTCCCACCTCCAGCAGAAGACAATCCCACCCAGATCCACCCCATGGAGCTGGCCATGAAACCTGCCTTGGAACAGCAGCATGATATATTTTGGAGGATCGACTGATATTTCAGATTAAAAGGCAAAGCAACAAGACAACAGACAAACAAACAAACAAAAACAACAACCAAATGTAGAAAGAAAACCATTTGAAACGTGCCAAAATGCTCCAGCCACCACCAGAATCTCTTCATCCTTCTCCTCCTCCTCCTCACCCCACCTTCAGGTACAAACACACCACTAAATCCGCACCCAGGCCCGGGAGCTGCTCCAGCATCATCCCTAATATCCTCCTTCCATTATCCCTATTTTTCCCCAGACTTTTCCCCAAAGAAAGAGGGGACACTTTGAAAGCCACGAAACCTCTCAGAGCAGTCGCAACCTTCGATCAGCAAACGAATTGAGGAGGAGGGCTTTGTCCAACACAAACACGGCAACGCAATTTCAGGGGAGGGCAACTCCTCCATCCCGATAAAATATCCCAGCAAAGGAGCCAAATGGCTTAATTATGAACAGCTGAGGGCACAGAAAGACTTCTTATATAACTGGGGTTTAGGACGATTCTCCTCCTTCGGCAGAATTTCTACGTATTGCTGGAGAAACTTTGGAAGGGCCTTAAAAACAATTCCCTGTCAAGCCTGGCTTGGAAAGGGAGGAAAGCTGGGAACAGAGTGTTCCTTTCATGTGCTGCCTGGGCTCTGGAATGTCCAACCACGGGAGAAGAGCCCTCCAACAGCTCCCAAGCTCCTTAAAAAAAAAAAAAAAACGGATGCAGACCCCCCCAGGTTGGGTGGGTGAGAGGATGCAAAGCCGGGGAGCCGCTGGAAGCGCCTCAGGAATGAAGAGTCGGAGGGAGAGCTCCAAAGGGAGCCTTATCTGAGCTCCTGATTAATTAATAACGACCAAATTAATGCCTTGCGTGCTCATTAAGGCCCAGGAGGAAGAGCAGCTCGAACAGAGGAGCTCTCCTAAAAGTTCTCAGGAACTGGCACAGCTCAGGGTGGCAACTGGCAGTCAAAAAATGCACCCTGACACACAACAATTCCAGGGGGACCACGTTTGTCCATCAGGGATCCGGGAGCCATCCAGTCAAATGTGGATTCGGTGGCACTTGGCAGCAAATCCGCTCCTGGCAAATGGATGCTTGAAGGAGCAGCAAAATTCTTCTGGAGCAGCAAAAAGTTCATTCCAAGCCAATCCCTCCCCCAAAACTCCTCCATTTGCACTAAATAAAGAATATACCGTGGACAAAGATGAACTCTTGGAGGAAAAATATGTCAAAAAATCATAAAATCAAGCAAATTCCTCCTCCAAAACTCCCCTGTTGGCACAGAATAATGAAGATGCTGTGGTCAAAGGTGAATTGTTGGAGGAAAAATATGTGATAGAATCATAAAATCAAACCAATTGTTCCCCAAAACTCCTCTATTTGCACTGAATAATGAAAATACAGTGGATAAAGATGAATTCTGAGAGGAAAACTTTGTCAAAGAATCAAAGTCACACCAATTCCTGCCCAAAACTCCTCTATTTCATTGAAAAATTAAGATATTGTGGACAAAGGTGAATTTTTGGAGGAAAACTGTATCATAGAATCATAAAAATCAAACCAATTCCTTCCCAAAGCTCCTCAATTTTCACCAAATAATGAAGATACTGTGACCAAACAAGAACTCTTGGAGGAAAGATATGTCAAAGAATTATAAAATCAAACAAATTTCTGCCCCAAACTCCTCCATTTGCACAGAATAGCAAAGATAATGTGGACAAAGGTGAATTCTTGGAGGAAAACTGTGTCATAGAATCACAGAATCACAAAACCCAACCAATTCCCCCTCAAAACTCCTCTATTTAAATGAATAATGAAGATTTTGTGACCAAAGATGAATTCTTGGAGGAAAACTATGTCAAAAAATCATAAAATCAAACCAGTTCCTGCCCAAAACTCATTCATTTGCATTGAATAATGAAGATACTGTAGACAAAGATGAAATTTTGGAGAAAAAAAGTACGACAGAATCATGGAATCAAACCAATTCCTGCCCCAAACTCCTCTTTTTTCACTAAAGAAAGAAGATACTGTGGGCAAAGATGAATTCTTGGTGGAAAATCACCCAACTAAGAAATATTTACATTAAAAACTCAGGATTTGTGATAACTGCAGGAAACACTCCTTTATATTTCCAAGCTCTGCATGAAGTAACAACGAGGGTTTCACCCAAATCCATCCATCCCTGGGCTATTTTCTAATTCAGGGAATGCACTTTAAGCAAGAAATTATAACTAAATACAAATTAATCGATGTTTTCAAGCACCTCCTTCCAGCAGTATCCTCTTCCTCACCCAACAAGTTACTCACCAGGACAGAATAGATGTGCAGGCATCGATAAACGGGGGAGAAATCCACCAAATCCTGGGCTCCAGGCACCTGGAAAACGGCAGGAAACGGGTGTGAAATAGGTGGAACACGCACAGGGAAGTGGAACCTCCCCCAAAAAATCGCATATGAAGAAGTGCAACCGCAAAAGAAATTCTATATATGCGTGCCAGTCTGAAAATTAATCAATTAGGAATAAATGCCACTGTGGAAAAAAAAAAAATCACACCTGGGTAAGTGCAGCTGTTAAAAAAAAATATATATAAATAGGTGTCACTCTAAAAAAAAAAATCACCTTGAGGTTAGTGCAACTCTAAAAAAAATATTATGGAATATTCATTTTAATGTATAAATAAGTGTCACTCTGAAATATCAAATATAGGTGAGAGTGACTCCAACACAAGCAGGTTCCACAGAGAGATTTCAGGTATAAGAATGAAGTTGATAATATATGATTGTTCTATAAGATTATATCTGGTTTCACCTAAATTTTTTCATTCTGTCATGGTTTTAAAGCGAGAAAATGTCCTTTAGTGCTGGTTTTGCCCCATTTCCACCCCCAGTGCAGCGGATTGGTTTTGACCATGGGCTCAAACACCGTGGTGCTTTGCAACAAAAAGGGATAAAATAAACCAAACTTAACTTAATTCTTTAGATTTCCAGTTTGGTTTTTTTGGTTTTTTTGGTTTTTTTTTTTAAAGAAAGCTGGAATAGTTATTTTATTTTGCCTTCTGTGTGTGTGTGCTCAGGGAAGAGGCGCCACAGAGGCTCCACCACCTTTCAACAACACACTGAGTCGTGCACAGGGACAAGGAAGAGCCTTTTTCCAAGGGTGGGATGGAGGGAGGGAGTGGCACTGGGGAGGGGGGGAAAGGAAAGATCAGAGGGGAAATTTGCATACAAGAGGCTCTGGTCCTTTGGAGATGTTGGAGGGAACACGGAATTAAGACTTGTTGGCCGAGGCTTTAAAGCCGAAGGAAAGGTCCTTCGCCCCGAAAATCCGGAGAGCAGGGGCGTGTTCTGTTGACATGTGGTGGGGGGAAAAAAAAACACACAAAAAAAGGGGGGGAGAAAGATGAAAGGGCCCAATGGACAGGCCTTGGAAACATGTTTATTATTTTCTATATTTTTAATTGTGCTGCAGAGGCCTTTGGGCTGGGCAGGAGGTGGGATGAAGAAAGAGGAGTTTCTGGAGGAAGGGAGGCTTTGCCAACCTCAGCCCAAAGCGCCCAGGGCCAGAGGGTCCTGCTCGTCTCAGCCAGCAGGGAGGGCAAAGGGATGGGTTGGGAAGGGAAAAAAGGAGGATTTTTGGGAAAGGAACTCCTGTGTAATGTGGAAATGGAGGTGAAGAATCTCCTCCATGCGAAGAAACTCAGTGCTCAGCCCTGCACGGGTTCTTGGTGGGAGTGGAAATGATGGAGCACAGACCGGGTTGGGTTGGAAAGGAACTGAAGGATCATCTCATTCCACCTCCCTGCCACGGGAAGAGACATCTTCCACTAAAGCAGGTTGCTCAAGATCCCAAAAAGAAAGAGGCAGAAACTAAAGCTACAGGCATGGGAATGGAATAACCAATCCTGCATCATCAGCATCACATCGAAGATCCAAGCCAGTGGTGCAGGGAAGGGAAGCAGGAGCCTCACTGGGAACAAGGTAGCAAAGAGAATTAATTTTTGGGGTGCTGTGAGCCCACTCACCCACCCACCTCACTGCACTTTCCTTCCCACCCCTGCACCAAGCACTCCATCTCAGCAGCTCGTCTGGATGAGCAGGGATGGCTCTCCAGGAAGGTTTCCAAGCAAAGGATGAGAGTGGGACCACCTGTGTGACCCTCTCCATGTTCATCTTGGATGCTCAACACAACCCACCTGAAGGCTGGGAGAGCTGGGGGGGTTCCCCTGGAGAAGAGAAGGCTCCAGAGAGACCTGAGAGCCCTTTACCTTTCATAACCCTTTACTTGACAACTGCAAACACGAGGCAGCAGTTTTATCCCATCACTGCCAATACCATCACGCCTTCCAGGCCCTTGATTTTCCATGTGGAGCCTCCCAGGCCTTCCAAACCCCCGGGACAGCTCCCAGAGCCACATTTCAGGTGGTTTGTGGCCTCCTCGGGATGCAGTTTCGCCTCGCTGGTGTTGAGAGCAATCGCCCTCCGGTTGCTGAAACACTTTGAACGCTTCTGGCTCCCAAATCCCTGATTGCAAAACTCCTGGAGATCGCTGGAGCAGACAGGGAAGCAGCAGCAGCCCCTCCCCATCCATCCCCCAGCGCCCACCACCCAGGAGGGGGAATCTGTCAGCCCTTCCCATCACCATCAAAGCAGGCCCTGCTTTCCAGCGAATTTCAACTCAGCATCAAACAGCTCGGGCTGGGGAGGCTGAGCCCAACACGATCCACGGAGAAACATTCCCGATAAAGGTTTGTGAAATCGGGATACTGCCAAAAAACACTGGAGTTTCCTTCCAGCCCCCTCCAGCCCCCCTCCCGCCAAACCCGCCCCGAGAAATTCTTTCAAAGCAACTGTAGCATTTTCACAGCCTCTGATCTTCTGTGGAAACTTCTGAGCCCACACACGCTCCCAAAAAAAGCTGCTGGGCTGCTCTGCAGAGCTCCTGGTTCCGAGCCGTGAACAGCCAGAAAAATTCCTAATCATTCTCATGTTCCTAATCTCGAATTCCTAATGGAGGAACGGCACTATGGGGACGTGGAAGGTCAACCTTTGACCACAAGAAAGTTTGTGGGAAATAAAGCCAAGCTCCCAGAGCTGTGCTGGGATTTTAAGCAGGGTGTAAATAAAAGTGTAATGTAAGCAATAACATAATTATGACATAAATGTATATGTATTTAAGGAAAAAAACAGACCATGTCTTACACACACATCACAGCCCCACAAAAACAATCCTATTATTCAAAATCCTTCCAAAATAGCCAATATAGGTCATGGAATATACAGAATATATGAGCTTGCATCCAGCTCTGGTGTCCTTAGGACAGGAAGGACGTGGAGCTGCTGCAGAGAGTCCAGAGGAGGCCCCAAAGATGCTGCCAGGGCTGGAGCCCCTCTGCTCTGGAGCCAGGCTGGGAGAGCTGGGGGGGTTCCCCTGGAGAAGAGAAGGCTCCAGGGAGACCTGAGAGCCCCTGGCAGGGCCTAAAGGGGCTCCAGGAGAGCTGGAGAGGGACTGGGGACAAGGCATGGAGGGACAGCACACAGGGAATGGCTTCCCACTGCCAGAGGGCAGGGAGAGATGGGATACTGGGAAGGAATTGCTGGTTGTGAGGGTGGGGAGGCCCTGAAATGAATTTCCCAGAGAAGCTGTGGCTGCCCCTGGATCCCTGGAAGTGTCCAAGGCCAGGCTGGAGCAGGCTGGGCTAGTGGAAGGTGTCCCTGCCCATGGCAGAGGGGTGGAATTTGATGGTTTTTAGGGCCCTTCCAACCCAAACCAGTCTGTGACTCCATGGAATTCTCTCTATGGCTGGTTTAACACACTGCTCAATTTAACGTGTCTAATATTTACAGATTAAGATCTTTAACTCATATTTAGATATTTGGACATACCTAAAAATTCAGATTTAGCACACGCCCTTTAGCAATGACTTGATTTTCTGAGCCAAAGCTGCACCACCAACGTTCAAAACCACAAATAAATCCTTGATTTTTGAGACCTGACCTTGACACGAGACCTTGGACCACCCCAACATCAGGATTTCACCTCTGACAACTCCCCTTCAGCCTAATCTTTTTTTTTTTTTTTTAAATGCCTTTTCATTTGCAAGAACAATGAATTTATTCATCTTGTCCAAAAATTCCCAGTCCACCAAACATCAGCTCCCCAAATCTCCTTCCCAAATCTCGCAGCAGGCACGTTCCCGGAGCTGGGAGCAGGGGGAGACCTGTCAGTCTCTGTGAACAGCCAGACTCTCTCTTTTTGCAAGAACTTTTGGATGAAACGATTCCTGAAGCAAATTTAACCCATGGAAGCCGAGTTTTTAATGGAAATGTTCGACTGTGACGCCACCAACGCCAGGTTGGCCCAGATTAAGGGGTGCCCTGCTCTGGCTCTGGATAATTTGGGATACAAGGACACGAATCTCTGATCCTTGATCGGTTGTGATGCAAAGACATGAAACAAGCACAGTCCTATTTGATCCACAGTGAAGGGAAAAACCCCCAGACTGAAACAGAGAGAAAATCTAAAAGAACCTGAATTCGGGAATTTAGGAACCATCTCGTGGGCCTGGAGGCATGGAGGGACAGGACACAGGGAATGGCTTCCCACTGCCAGAGGGCGGGGAGAGATGGGAGATTGGGAAGGAATTCCTGGCTGGGAGGGTGGAACAAATTTCCCAGAGAAGTTGTGGCTGCCCCTGGATCCCTGGAAGTGCCCAAGGCCAGGCTGGACAGGGCTTGGAGCAACCTGGGAGAGTGGAAAGTGTCCCTGCTGTGGATTTGCTGCATCCTGTGTGGTCTCATTTTCCTTTGACTATTCCATGGCTTAACCTTGGGGAAAAAATATCCCTGTATTCCTCCAGTCCAAAGGGTTCCTGGGATATTGGAACACTGGAATCGGCCTTAGGGTCCTGCCCACTCCGTGATCTCACTCTGGCTCAAGTGAGACACAACAGGCTCTGTCTGCAGCACTGAGGGTTTTCCCATGGGGAAGGGAAGATGTCCTTTCCATAATTCCCAAACAAAAGGTGGAGGCTGCTGGCACCTAAGGAAGACATTTCCCAGGGAGAGCCAAGAGAGCTCTCCAGGGTCGCTGCTCCAGCTGCCACAACTTTGGGATCAGGAATCTTATTCCTCCCACTTAGAGGACTGCAACTTCCTCCCCGAGCCAGGAATGCCAGACATGAGGAATCCTGGCCACGCTTCACACCTGCTGGTGTCCTGAGTGCCAAACTGCTCATCCCAAGAGAAAAGTGCCTGGAATTTGTTGGTTTGTCCCTCGAAGACGTCGAGAGGCCGTTTTCGTGAGGGGCGATGCCCTCCCTTAGAACTTCCCTACAAAGGAGCGCCAGGGAGCCCAACCACTTCACAAGGACACCTGACCAGTGTGTTTTGGGGACAAGAGGAAAAAAAAGGGACAACAGTGGTGGAGTTTGTCCCGCTGGACTCAACACCAGCACAGAAGAAAAGGCGCTGCGAACGAGAAGAATCCGGCTGAGCTTTGTAGCCCTCTGGATGTCGTTTACTACAAAGGGAAGAGCTGGCACCGCCTGGGCACTCTGGGGAGCTGCTCACTGTGGAGTGCAGAGCCTCCTTCAGCAACTGGGAATCAGAAAACCCCAATTTGAGGCTTCTCCCGGCTCGTTTTTCCAGCTGTTCCCACTCCCGCACTCCGGCTCCCTCCACCTCTGGGAGGCATCTGCGCCCCCGGTGGGACAAGTCTGGGCTGTGACGTCTCCAAACTGGACAATGCTGAGGGAGTTTGTGCTCTGGAGCTGCCAGAGCTCTCTCAAGCTACTCCAAGGGGCAGAATCATCTCCACTGGAACGAACGGTAGGAGCCAAAACCCTTCTGTTTGTTCTTGCCTTTCAAAGCTCCTCCTGGAAATTCTGCCGTGGGAATGAAGGGATTTGCTCCGTGTGGGTGAGGAATAATGGGATCACCAGAACAGCTCACCCAGCCTAGGTGGAGAACTCCACACCAGAGCCCCCTGAAAGGCTTCCTAGAGGGAAAAATTTACATTTACCCCCCTTTTTCCAGCCTGTGAACCAGGATCAGGAGCTCTCCTACCTAAACTTAAATCAGGACCACCCAGGACCATCCTGTTTTGCATCCCGAGGTTTTCTTGGTGGCAGAGAAGTAGCAGCCTCAGCAATCCCTGATGGGCAGAACACAGCCAAGGACTCGTGTCCAGCTCTGTCCCTCTGCCCCACAAAGCACTCCAGAACACGGGGGGCTGTGCAGGAAATGAGACACCTGCACTCAGGACACTCAATATTAATAATTTTAAGCATTAAGGATCAATTCTGATACCCAAATTCTGAATTAGTGATATTTCTGCACAGATCAGGCAATCAGAAGGAGAAAAGGCTCCCACCAGAAGGTGAAAAGCGAGGAATGAGTCCAGCAACCATGAAAAGTGAGTTGTTGTTTTTCCCCTTTCCTTACTGAAGTGACTTTACCTTGACACACCAGTTTCCTGGCTTTGGCCCCTCACACTGACTGCCCAAATCTTCTCAGGGGGTGGAGGGTGGGCAGCAAATGACTGGGGGCATCACCACAGACTGGGGTCAAAGGACCACACAAAACCCTCCTTCAGATTTGGAATCACAGAATCCTTTAGGTTGGAAAAGCCCTCTGAGATCATCCAGTCCAACCATCCCCCAGTACTGCTAAGGCCACCACTGACCCCATGTCCCCAGGTGCCACATCCACAGGGATTTTAAATCCCTCCAGGGATGGGGATTCCACCCCTGCCCTGGGCAGCTGTGCCAGGGATGGACAGCCCTTTCCAGGAAGGAATTTTCCCAATATCCATCCTAAACCTCCCCTTGCCTCCCTGGAGGCCGTTCCCTCTCCTCCTGTCCCTGTTCCCTGGGAGCAGAGCCCGACCTCCTCTGGCTCCCCCCTCCTGTCAGGGAGTTGCAGAGCCAGAAGGTCCTCCCTGAGCCTCCTTTTCTCCAGGCTGAGCCCCCCCAGCTCCCTCATCCGCTCCTGCTGCTCCAGCCCCTTCCCAGCTCCATTCCCTTCCCTGGAAATGCTCCAGCCCCTCAAATTTTTTTCATCATGGGAGGTCCAAAGCCTTGATGGCTCTATTTCCATCTGAGAGATCCATTTTACTAATAAATAAATAATTTTCTGTTCAAATAGGAAAACCCCCAGGAGACAGGAACATGGGGAACTCAGAACTCATCAGGAATCAAACCCTGTCCCTTTTCCTGCTGAGGCAAATCTAGGAGGACACAGGGGTCTCCTCCATCGGGCTCCAGGAGGCCTGGCCAGGGGGGTCCCAGGGCTGCACTTCATCACCATGGACAGCACCCACCCCCTGCCCCGGGCCCAGCACCAGGACACAGCCCTGGGAATGACCCCTCCTGCCCTGGCCCTGTTGCCCATCCACCACTACAGGGTCCCCCTGACTGTGGGGTCACCCCATCCCACCAGCCTGGCTTGGATCACACCCAGAGATGGGATTGCCCCTGCCTCGAGATCGGGTAGAATCATGGAATGGTTTGGGCTGGAAGGGACTTTGAAGTTCCACCCAGTGCCACCCCCTGCCATGGCCAGGGACACCTTCCACCAGCCCAGGGTGCTCCAGCCTGACCTTGGACACTTCCAGGGATCCAGGGGCAGCCACAGCTTCTCTGCCCAACCTGGGCCAGGGCCTCCCCACCCTCCCAGCCAGCTGGGAGGACAGAAATGAGAGGTCCAGTTCTCAACCCTTGGCCTCTCTGCTGAGCCTGGGAATGAGATTAGGGATCAAAATGCACAATAACCCAGTTCTGAAATGTGTGTGTCCCCCCACCCTGTTCTACAGCCTGGTCTGGGTCTTTCTGAGTCCCTGCCCAGCAAACACCACCTGAGACACCACAGGGGTTGTGCAGTTACCTCCTCATCCTCGTCCTCATCCTCAACATCCAGGATTCCTGAATCTTGCTCGGACATGGGGCTGGTGTTTTTCACCTCCAGGTCGGAGCTGGCACAGAATTCCCTCTTGGATTTCTTCCCCCCGCTTATCCTGGGATGCTGGGACACAATGTTGTCCAGGTTCCTCTGCTGCTGTGCCTAGGGGGGAAACAAAACAAAACAAAAAAATCAACCCATTTCACCTTTTCCAACGGTATCCTCACATTTAATTTCGCTTCCAGGCAAAAGATTCCTGCCCTGAACTAAAGACAAACGAGGCAAAACACGGAATTCGGACCCGGTGTGTTTTTCCCTAAGCCCAGATATTCCAGAGAAACACAGGACTCGTTTCAAAACCTTTTCCAGGGCTGATTACGCAACCCCACAAACAATATTCTGACTCTTCACAAATCCAAATGCCATATTGATCTATTTACAGCCCAGATGCAGAAATATTAGCCCACGGGCCATGTGGTGACTGTCACAGGCTGAATTAAAGGACCTACTTAACCGCTGGATTTGTTCCTCTTTTCAACCCGTGTCAGCACAAAACATTCCACATCTGGACCCCAGAGGTTCCTGAAAGCATTTTTGCGGTACCCCAGGAGGGTTTAATTGCAGTTGCTGATGTACAGAACGAGCTGTAAAAGGTACTGAGCGAAAAGCCGCTCGCCGGGAGGAGCCCTGGCGTGGCGGGAGCGACACACGCGGAGCCGAGGGGGGATAGCCCGGGGGTTTTTTTGGGGAGGGGAGGTTTGGGGTTTTTTTGGCAGTGGGGGTCGATGTGTGCGACCCGCTGCGTGAAGCCACTCGGTTTCCTCATTGTTATCGAGCACAATATTGACAGGAAAAGTGGTTTAGCCCCAATTGTTCGAGAGTTGACCGAGAAGGGCAAACCGAAGGGGGAGGACAAGGAGCAGGATCAGCACAGGGACACGAGTGGCACAAGTGGCAAATCCTGGCCAAAAGAAAAGGGAAAAGGCCAAGCCAGTGGATGCCGTGGCTCTGGACATGCGGGTTCATGTCCTGGTGTAAGCAGAAAATAAACACTCTGCAAAGCTGGAATTTATACAGGTTTATGCCCACAGATGTCGGGGATCCCTCCCATATTTTTGTATGAATTTGTGATGTATCGGAAGAAAGGTGTGTAGGAATCAGGGAGTGGTTTGGGTTGGAAGGGACCTGAAAGATCATCTCATTGCAACCCCCTGCCCTGGGCAGGGACACCTTCCACCAGCCCAGGTTGCTCCTGGTCACTCTGCAATTCTGTGAGGTGGCAAAAGGGGACCATCCCCTGCTCCACAGCCTGGATTTTAAAGGAAGAAGGGAAACCCCAAACCACATTGGAGATATGCTGTCAGTGACACCAACCATGCAGGGAAACCAAAGGAGGATTAACACAAATGGAACCTATTCAAAATTGCCAATTACTTTTGCCACCTGAGCTGCAGAAGGCAGTAAGATCCACCTAACGTGCAATGCCTCCCGAATTATTTCCTTTCAAACACTTAAAACATCACCCCAAAATAATTTATGAGCAGGTTTTATTCTGGCAGCCTCGAACTCCCTTTAGAATTCCTCCTGATCACCTGAGTAACCCCCACTTCTGAAGAACACTAAAATATTAAAAGGGACATTAAAACCCGAGCACGGGACATCTTCTCCCTTGAAAACCCACCATCAGCACACACCTGGCTTCACCTTAATTAACAAACACGGCCAAATGATGACAAAATTCAGCACACAAAGCTGACACCGGAGGTGGCTGCACCAGAACCTGCACCAGGGACTGGAGCCAACCCTTAGCGGAGCATCCCCGAGCCGTCCCACAGCACAATCTTGACCTCTAGTGGTGGGAAAGCAGGAGGGACCCTCGACTGCTGAGCAAGGGGACTCCCAACCAGGCTCATTAAAAAGATCTCCGGAGGGCTGGGCCTCAACAATGGGGATTTTTGCGACAGAAAGCCCCGGGAAAAGGTCCACGAAGACAAAGTTTGCGACCGACGTCAGGACTTGAAGCAATTGTGGGGATGGGGGGGGGGGTGGAAAGTGGGTGTTTATTTCGCATTGGAAACCTCCAACTTCAGAGGCACAAGTCTATAGAAAGCCATTGCAACACCCCATAAAGGGAATTAGGACTTCAAAAAAGGGGAGGGAGCCGTTTGGTCCCTCTGAAGCTCACACAACAAAGAGCCGGGGCTCGAGTCCACCCTCAGATACACCCATTTATGACATAAGTTTCTCAAGTTGTAACTCTGAGCCCACTGTAAATTCCACCCAAAGCAAGCCCAGTGCGCTCATTAAAAAAAAAAAAAATCTCCAATTTATGTAATCTTTCTTCTTCTAGAAAGGGAAGAAATCAAAGAGTGGGGGAAGAAAAAGAAAAAAAACCAAATTCAGAAGTCTTGGATAAAACGTCGTGCTCGAAACGGATCATTAACCAGGGCGGAGCAGCACAGGCAGCCATGGGAGAGGGAAAATCTGGGATAACGAGCTCAACTCCACTGCCCAAGCCCTCAGCAAGTCTCAGGCTGAACACAGATTTAGTGGCACCAGATGACCTCACAGAACCCCGGAACAGGCTGACTTGGAAGGGACCCACAAGCATCATCACCTCATGGATATTTTATCCAAGGATACGTTATCTTGGGTCCCCACCTCTTTACCAACAAGGGGTGCCTTCCTTCAGCTTCATCTCCTCTCACAGGAGGACAGCAGGACAAGAGATATCTACTGACCAGGTGGCAATGTTGATGAGATCCAAATCAAACCTTAATAAGATCTAATAAATTCCGGTTATTTAGAAAACCGTAAAGACAAGAAGATGTGTCGCTCCAGGTCAAGGAGCTCCACGTGAAATTCAAACACCACCTTGTGATTTTGCACTTTTAATGCCACTAAAACTGAAGTTTATCGAGAGAATTCTGACCTGAATCAAAGTCCAAGGACCAATTGGGAAAATCTAAGAATCCCAGAGCGGTTTGGGTTGGGAGGGACCTTAAAGACCATCCAGTTTCACCCCCTGTCATGGGTAGGGACACCTTCCACTAGTCCAGGTTGCTCCAACCTGGCCCTGGACACTTCCAGGGATCCAGGGGCAGCCACAGCTTCTCTGGGCAACCTGTGCCAGGACCTGCCCACCCTCTGAATGAAAAAAACAAGGACAAAAATACATGTCCCAACTCCCTGATATCCACAAGAAGCAGCCAGAGGATGATCCCAGTAGCACAGAAGCTTCTGCACCCACCAGGAGAAAGTTTTACCTTTAGGAATTTGTGGGGAGGGAAAAGTTACAAATAAGAAGAGACTTTTTTTCCAGGGATTTCTACCTTCCAGGGCAACAAAAGTAACCCAGGGGATGTTTGCTCCCTTCCAGCACACTGGGAATGTCGCATTCCACACCCCCAGCCTGTGGAGCCGCCGCTCTGCCCTCTGAGGGGCACGGTCCTGAGGAGCTGGGGTGACCCACAAACCAAGGTGTGATGCTGGAACAACCCAACCTCCACTCCAGAAGAACCAGTAATTGCTTTTCCATTACCAGGAGGGCATATTTTCCCCTGCCCCCACATTCCCAGCAGGAAACAATCTGGACTGAAGTGACCTAAAAGTGAGAAATATCGAATTTTCTTTAAACTTCGGCGGCACCGGGTGAAGTCACCGAGGTTTCAGTTTCACCCTGAGAGAAAGACGGAGCTGGGGTGAGGCCCAGAGGAAGGAACCACGGAGAAATTGGGGTTTAACAGCCCAGGAACTCTCCTCTCCCTGCCCCCTCAGCTCCTCCCAGCTCGTTCCCCACACCTTCCCGGTGCAAGGGGTTTGACGTCGCACGTAAAGGATGAAAAATGACCTGCAGAGGAGGCACATTTGGGGTTTTTAACGTCCTGTTTCACATCAAGGCATCTGTGGGGAGCCCAGTGAGGAGCCACACTCGAGGGAAACCACATCAAAGGCCGGGTGACACTCCAACGTGCCCCCTGGAAATGGAGGGACCTGGGGCTACGGGGGAGGCAAAAAGCCTTCAGGGGATTATAAAAAGAAAAAAATCAAATAAAAAAAAATCAAATAAAAAATCCCTTCCCTTTTGGTGTGGTTTACATGAAAGCAAGTGCATTCTTGTGCTATTCTGTAAAACGGCCCCCATCACCCAGGACTATCAATCTCTGGGCTCTGATTAATGTGACGATAAAACAAAAGGTAAGAAACCCTCCCCTGGCTGTTCGTGGCTAATGTTCCACTGAGCAGTGACACACAGGGTGTTTGGGTAGCTCAAGTTCCCCCCAAGCACAGCTACTTTCCTCATCCACAACAGGAACACCCCACACCACTCTGCCGTGGGAGAAATCCCAGTCCCTGACAGCAACTCTGCTCCCAGACTGGGTGAGGGAAGAAGCTAAGGCAGTTTTTCACCTCCAGGGTCAGGTTTAGGTCAGTGACCAACTTTTGCAGCTGTAACCAGGTCAAGGTTGGCCACTGGGAAGCCCTGGAGAGCTTCTGGGAGACCTTGGAGCAACCTGGGCTAGTGGAAGGTGTCCCTGCCCATGGCAGGGAGTGGAACTGGATGGTCTTGAAGGTCCTTTCAAACCCAAACCACTCCAAGATTATGGAACTCCTGTAACCTGTCCATCACTCCCTCAAGAGCTTTTGGGGGTTTTCACTTCCAACCAGTCCTACAAGAATCCTAAACACAAATCCCAGAGAAGCTGTGGCTGCCCCTGCATCCCTGGAAGCGTCCAAGGCCAGGCTGGATGGGGCTGGGAGAACCTTGGATAGTGGAAGGTGTTCTTGCCCGTGGCAGGGGGTGGAATGAGATGGTCTTTAAGGTCCCTTCCAACCCAAACCATTCTGTGATTCTCAGCCCTCCATATGAAGGATTTTCCTCAAGATTTCAGGACTCGATCCTGGTACAGTCGGAACAGCAACTCCACCTTCCCCACCCATCACAGCTTGACCCACCGAGCCCACAGACCCAACACTCTGCAGGAGAAACTAAAGGTGTCAGCTTAAAACACCTGTGACAAGTTACACTGGAATGTTTTGTGCTTGAATTTTTCACAGTTGGGCTTTTCCAAGGAACTCAACTGCCTGGGATCACGGGCAAGGCCCCAAAGCTGCCACCCTGGGAATGACACAGAGGAGCAGAGCAGGCTGTGGATTCCTCC